TTGTCTTGATCATATGAAAACTCAACAAATGCGGCTATTTCAATTCCATTCACTTTCTTATATTTGATAAAGTAGAGGTTTCCATTTCTAAAGTCCTTAGCAATATCATTTCTACCTAATGACTTTACAAGGCATCTATTCTTATCAAAATGCACCTTACAACTAGGTAAAATTAATTTACTTATTAAAAGGAGATTTTTCTTGATCTTGGATGCATGCAAACGTCTTTCAATCTACTCTTCTTGGTTTTTCCTCTCAAAAGAATTTCTACTACAATAAAGTCCATTCCAATGGCTTGTATCATGCTATTGACTCTCATAAAAATATTTATTCCTAAAATTTCTTCATAAGTATTAAATGAATACTTGTATAAAGTCATATGCTTGGTGGCACCCAAATCAACATTCTACTTGGATATGATAGCCATGAGGTGCCTTCACTTACCATGAATATAAAATCATGTCTTCCAAATTGTTCATATACATTGTTGATACTTTTTTTTTTTTTTTTTTTTTTTTTTTTTGTCTTGTAGCAATTTCGTGCAAATGTCTTGGTTTTTTACAAATGAAGTAAGTTCTCACATTGTCACATTGATTAAAATAGTTGTATTTACCTTATCTTGAAAAGAAAGCCAAATCTCCACTTTGAAGCTTTTTTTCTTTCCTCTTAATTACTTTATGGACAATTCTTCCATTATGTAGTCTATTATAAGTTCTTTCAACTTGATGGACTCCAATGCCACAATAAAGTAGTTGTATGACTCAGAAAGGCTCATAAGTAAGGTCATGATAGTATCACTTTCTTTTGAATGCTTGTCAACAATTGTTAGTTGATTTATAATCACTTTTATCTTATTTACATGAGCCATGAGGTTTTCACCTTCTTCTATTTTGTAAGTAAAGCATTTTCTCCTTGTGAAAATGATGTTAGATAAGTTCTTGCTTTCATATATGTTGCAAAGAATCTTCTACGCTTCTACTGGTTCTTTGCAAGAAATAATGTGAGAAAATTGGGTTCATTCAAATTGTTTGTAATTATACCAAAAGCGTTCTTTTCATGCCTTTTGAAGTCCTTCTTTTCCTTAGCATTTGCATGTCTGCTTGAAGGCTCTCTACTTTCATCTAAAATATCCCAAAGGTCCAAAGACACTAATAAAAGCTTCATTTTGACCTTCAAATCGTAAAAACATCTCTTTTAAACTTCTCAATGACTTTCAAACCGTCACAATCACTAAAAGCCATGTCTAAGAAGAGCTCTATCAAAAAATATCAAAAAAAATAGTCTTTATATGCTCAAAATCACCAAATCAATTTGACATTAACAAAATCTCAAAATACCCTCTTATAAACAATGGAGTGCTTTCTTACTCAAAATACTTACAAATCAAGTTTTGAAGCTTTTAACAAGTATGTGCACTCCAAAGAATCTTACCATTAAGATCTCTTATTCATTCAAACCAACTATTACACAATATATATGAGGGAAGTGAAATAACTTCAATAATACAAAAAGATACTATTAAGGTCTTTTTATAAGGTCTTAAACTCACAATCCTAATAGTTAAGAATCTACTAAACAATATTAAAAATCTATAAGGTCAAAAATAGTACCTCCTAATGCCATAATAGTAGTTTTGATCCTACAAACTTGAACATCAGCAAATACCATAAGATCTATTCTATACGAGTACAACCACTAGAAAATGACATTAATTTACTTGAATGGTACAACAAAGTGTGTGTAGATCCATAACTTATTGAAGAAATATAACAAGTAAGACACAAGAAAGTAAAAATCAAAAGTATTACAAATAAAAAAAGTATAGAATGAAATGTCTGTTTCTTCCAACATCCTTTACTTATAGGAAGAATTTACATCTATTGTAGTTGAACTTCATCTATAATCATCTTCATTCATCCAACTAAACCCTACATTCTTCTTAATCAAGCCACCACCTTAATAACTTCACTATTTGACTACCCTTTGACCATTAACAACTTACCTAAAATAATACTATCTTATTATTACTCTAACAATCTTCAACTCGAATTGTGTGTGAGAATGAGTATGGCCAGGGCAGTTACCATTACAGGTACATAAAAAGGTACAAAAATAGACATGCGGTTTTAACACATGAATCGAGTCGTAATGCAACCATGGACAACATCCTGATTGATCATTGTATCATATTCTACGACAAAATTGACAGATGCTTCAGCCCACTGACTCAAAGCATCGTATGGGTTTAAAGAGTTGGCGGATTGCTGTAGTGACTGGTGCCCTGGATTTGACCCCACAGCCATCAAGCAAACCCTACCGTGTTTATGGTGTTTATATCAAAGTGGCTCAATTTAGCTGACTAAGATGAACTAACTAAGAACGATCAATCGACGACGATGGATTGGAAAACTATCTGTGGATATTCTAGACAATGTGCAGATTTACAACCACCGAATTGCAGGTCAAAAGCAAGTGGCTTGATTACGAGGCAAGTTAAAAGACCTGAAGCAGCTAGCGGTTGATAATCGACCCAGTGCAACTGCACAAGCCTCATGCTATTTTGTAATCCGAACAAAATCTTTCAGGTCACTGAACACCAGCTTCGAGTAATTTAATCCTACTTGTCGCAAGTGATGCAATTATTACTTTATCTAAACCAACTCACTTGAGGATGAAACTTCAGCAGCAAACCTTGACATCCAACCAACACTCGTTTAGCGTGGATAGTTGCAGCCACAAAGACCTCCACAATGATCTAGTCCCCCCTACAGTTTGCTGAAGAGTTAACGTTATTTGAAGGTGATAAGAAAACGAAATGAAACGAATGATGCAGTCAATTAACATTCACAAACAAATCTAACAATGAACAGGAATTCCACCTCGACTGCGAGTTTTCGAACGTTGAATTGGTCTCTTTAAAAGTACGTTCGTGCGATGTCAATTGCGACCACTCGCATCACTGGCGTGGTTTTCTAAGAACTGAACTTGTGCATTAAGGAGGTCAAGAACACCTAACTTGGCTATCAACGTGGACTCCAACGTTTCAAAGCTTGAAAAAATCTAGTAAGTTTCAGCTCATACGAGCTAGTTAGTCTCTGCAACACCTTTTTCCGCATCTGCCAATATTCTGTGAGAACTATCACGGACGTCCGAATACTGTCAGATAACACCCAATCATTAGTGAACTAACACGAGTTCGTCAGTTAATCAAATTCAAAACTTTTTCTTGCAGAAACATGACAATGATAATGCAAATCGAACAAGAGGCACCAAATCTGGTATCGACAAAATTCGACATCACATCCTGAAACGAGCACACGATTTTATGGTCTGTGTGAACCTCTTGCAATCGTGTGGGTCAACAGATTCGCTTAACTGTGGACACTAGCACAATGTAAAGCCTACGACACGAATTGGGATGCACATGATGCAATCTGGTGTAGCGAAAATAGAGCGGAATGTTCCGGTTTCATTTATAAGAACTTGGTTGCAGAGTCTCAACTGTCCCGACAGAATTACATTTCTTTCCTTCACTGTCAACGAACAAATGGTGAAGCTTTATATATATACATATATATATATATATATATATATCATTCGATTGCGCAAGTTATGTATACCCTAAACACTGAAGGTTTCAATCGCCGTGGCATCGGACCAAATTTCAACTGTTTTTAAATGAAGGACCCCACTGAATTTAACATCCTGGGCAGAAAAGATGGAATGAATGCACAGTTCCAGTTTCTAGCTTGTGGGTTTGTGCATGAGTTTGAAGGAGTTCAATAGAGTGACGGCACCCAACCAGCTAAGCAGTGCTCCTCGCCTGCTCTCTACCTGCTTGCGTTGAAACGTGAGAGAGAGGTGTCTGACCTCCATATCAGCACGCACCTGCTAAACATCAGTTGTAGCATCATTGCAGGCTTCTAATGTCATCAGCTTCTCTTGAAGCGGTCTTTGAAGGCGTAGGCCTACCAGACAACTCTCATAGATGAATTAAAGCTCTCTTTCCATCAGAAGTAGAGTCATTGTGCCTGCTTTGAAGGGACTAACCATCGTCGTCACTCACTTCCTGAAGTGGATCCCTGCCACAGCACATGTTGGCTTGCTTTATCTGTCCCACACAGACAATTACTAAGTTACAGGTTGCATCAGGTGGAAGCAAAGAATCCTGGTCACTGACAGAAGAGTTCTTTCATAGGATTTGGAACTCTATTTTCAGGTATTAGATTGCTGTAAAAGTAAGATGCACTCATTGTAAGGGACAGGTAGTGAGTGATCTCCAGATGCTGCAAGACGTTGTATCATGCTCAAAATTGGTTAAGGCTCCCTAACTTCAATCCTAAAGGACAAATTGGATAAGTGATACCCAATCAATGTCACCCGAAACAGCAGTTAGCTAATTTCTCTTTAGATTGCGTCATTAGATCTTTTATTAAATTTCTTTTTCACACAAGACTTCTAAAAGTGTATTCAGCCACATTATTAAATTTACACTCAAGGTGTTCGTCCTTGAACTAGACGGTTCTTACCAAATCACAACAGCAGACTAGATAAATTGCAGTCAAGAAATTCTAAATGCAGAAGTACAGAAACTTGAAAAGCAAGAGTGATTTTCAAACTAAGCAATCTGCTAACCACAAGCTGTATGCATCTAACGGCAAACTGCCGGATCCAAAATTCCAATGCCAGCATCCCACTGTACTAAGTGTGTAGCGATTGCAGAACACCACTATTTGAAAAGAGGAAATCGCCCAACACTTGATAAAAGCAAATAAAGCTCTCATTCCAGAGTAGGTTACGACTAAGTAGACATCAAAATGTCGACACTGATACTATGCCCGTAAACATAGAGGCAAAGTGCCAAACCGATTTCGAAACCTTCCTAAAGGAGAATTTGATACAGAAATCGATGTGGTTTAATGAACCGGATTTCCACACACTAAGCTTGTATCTCCATCCTCTGAAATATACACAAACAATATACCCTATAGAACGGAATGTGTATTAACATAATAGTACAGAAATATTCCATTTAACAATAGGTTTCAGAGAAACGCAGAGCAGTGAAAATCTCAGTAGAAACTATAAAACTCGACAAGGCAAAAATGCCCCTTGACATATCACCCAATTAATAACGTTACAAACAACACAAAACCCTGCAATAGAGCTTCCACTAACTTTCATCAATTCCTACCAAGACTCAGATCACTTAAGCAAGATCTAAATGCATTTAACTCATTGCTCTACATAGCTAACACGGTGTGCGCATCCAATGTTAACGATCTTCCCTGTCACATCTGGCATCTAGAAATCCTTCTCAAAAACAATAAGAAGTACCATTCGCACATGGACTCTATTCTGTTGAGACACCGAGTACAACCTAGTCGTGACCGCTGGAAATGCAACAACCTAAGAACCACCAACACACTTTCCTTAAATGTATACCACAAAATATACTCATACTACAGCTGCTACGGAAACCATGCTCACAGGAAAGGTGCAGATAAAACAGGCTGCCCTTTAGTATGCAACTGTCGCTTCTGGTGCAGCCGGGGCTTGCATAGTCGAATCGTCCTTGCTCGCAGGACCAGTGCTGAGCTTAGCCATCCCAGCGCCGCTCTCTCGGCTGTTGCTACTCTTAGAACGCCTGTTCACCGACTTCCTGACTTCATCTTTGAATGTGTTGTCTCCATTCCTAACTCGAGCCACTGGAGATTTAGATCCATCGTGCTCCGCTTCGTACAAACTGGCTCTCCGCGCTGTAGTCAGCTTAGGAGAAATAGGTCGGGTTGGTGGAATCTTCTTAACTTCCACTTTTGGTGGACCTTCGGCATAGAAACTTGGCAGAGGAGTGGCCTTGAACTTGAGACCCTTTCGCAACTCCTTCACTTTGTTCTCTGCTTCTTCTTCTTTCTTAGCCTCCAATTGATTCTTCTCTTCTTCTTTAGCCTTCATTTTCTCCTCCAATTTAGCATAGAATTCTCTCCTCTTCTCAGCACGCTCCTGGCTCTTGACACCTAATGCGGAAGTATTGCCACCTTTACTCTTGAGAGCAGCCAATTCTTCTCCAAGCTTTGCATCTTCTTTATCCATGTTCTCGAGAGTGTCTTGGTCCTCTTTAGAGAGCTTCAATGCAGGGACTCCGTTACCTGTCTTAGGTGCAAAACCTTCGGGAAGAGACTTCCGGACCTGCGGCAACGGTTTCTGGTTCCAGGTGATGATACAAAACTCCATCAGTACACAGAATGCACACTCAGCCAAAAACTAGTTCGAAAAGCGAAGTAGTACTCTCACTAGTTTGGAATGGAGAGTATCATACTTTTTACTCCAATTAGAGTCAGTTTAAAGCACATCGACGTACCTTGACAATATCTGGCTTGACCTTCACGTGAAGCTTAGGCACTTTTGCGTGTACGTCGACATCCTTTAGCACAATTCCTCACAATAAGCAATGAACGCTATTCAACATTTTGTCAAAAAGGGTAACTGTGAGGTATGTCTAAAAAACTAGAGAATGCAAGCAGCGAACGCAAATATACTCCACATCACGAATGATATTTGGGAAAGTAGAAGGTACCGGAACATGTTTAGGTGCGGAAAGATCCTTTCTCACATGTGAACCCTTCTTCAAAGATTCCAATTCCTGCATAGATGACGAGGTGATCAACCTAAGCACATAAACGAATAATTTAAGGTGGAGAGGGCTCTTAAACCATCGGCCACATGAAACAAATAGGTTCTTACCAGTAAATACACAAATCAACAAAGCCACAAACAGAAATCAGAGTTAGCCATTGAATAAAGAGAAAAGAGAATTATAGAGCGCGTACGGACCTTCCGTGACTGCTCAAGTTTTGATTCCAACTCCTGGTTATGCTCTTTTGACTGCTGTAAGGCATTCTCAGCCTACACAGAAAGAACCAAGCTCTTAGAGAATCACAATCATACGTTCACCTTTAACAAGCAACCAATCACATAGCAGAGCAAGACAATCGATCTCCTACATGATGTTTAGGTTCGCTATTCCAAAATCTTCAAATCAGTGGCTTACTCTTGCACTTATCAAGGCAAAAGTACAAGCAAGATCCGATCTCAAATCTATAACAATTGAGGCAAATTTAATAAATGGGGTAAGTAAACGACAATCTAGACTCAGGACATCAGCTACGGCACAAAGTCCTACCGCGGCGAGCTTCTGCTCGAGCTCCTCGGACGCATGCTTCTGCGCCTCTAGCTGCTCTTGCAACTCTCGGATGAAGGCATCAGCCTTTGATACGACCACCTCAATATTTCCGCCCTCTGTCTCCAGCTCCGAGTCAGTCATGAACAGAGGCATTGTGCCGGCCTCCGCAACAACGCCTACACGAATCTAACAACCCTAAATCCAAGAGGCAACCCCTTCGCCTCTACTACTCCGTCGCGCGCAATCTGCAAGAACACAGTTGACTACGCCACTTCAGACCCAATCAAGGCAAACAACAAGCTACCAACTTTCCGCATCCTGATTAAACAACCGCACCACTTCCAAACACATAACTCGCACCACTGAACCCGCCAGTCAACACCACATCTCTCGAGTACAATGAGACCCACATCACCGTACACACAAAAACACACGCACGCATGCACAGACACACACAACCGGAACCTGATCCTCACACACGGAGATTCCATGCCAGAAAACAGACGGGCTTGGCTGCAACCTCATCAACATCAGCCTAAGCAACCAGATTAACAACAGATCGTCACCGAGACCAAAAATCCAACAAAGCTGAATTCCAAATGGCTCCGCACACCTCTCGCTCTCTCCCTCCCTCCACCTCGGCCTCACCAATTGATCACACTTCCCAATGAACAAGAGCAATGGCAAATCGCAACTAGAAATATACCAATGATCGAGGTAAGACGGCCTTTCTCACAAGATCACGAGGATTTCATATTGAAACTGTGGTTGAGGCGGTCCCGGATGTCCGACCTCTTCAACAATCTAGCTTCCAAACACAGTAGAGAGAGGAATGGGAGTTGAGGAAGGGGAGCTAGGCTGGGCTGGGCTGGGCTGGAGGAGGAGGAGGAAGGCAGACCGAGCAACAGGGCGCCAGGGGGATGCTGGCTTGTGGGTGGAGGCAGCTGGCGGTGTAGGATTTCCCTTTTCGCGATTTATCGAGATGAGGCGCGGGGAGCACTAATAAAACCTTATTCCACAACCCTCGTTGGAGTTTATTCGGGCTCCTTGCAGTTTCTTCAAATTGTATTCAAAGGGTGTTGGTGAACTGGCTTGCGGATCGGGAGGAAGATCAACTATTGCCTAGTCAGTGCCAGCCTAGGCCTTGCCGATGTTTTACTCCGAGTTCTTCTAGGGAGGAGGTGGTGCAATTTGAAGGGGCGGTTGCGACGCTTTTTTTATAAGGGGTTTTGAATCTTTCAACTGAATTCGCCGGCATGGGATTCGGGTTCGCCCTGTAAGAATCGATGCGCTCAGTCTTCTTTACCCAGTACAGTTTTCTCGTGTTTTTATCTTCCGGTGTCCTTCTTTCTTTTTTTCTTTTTCTTGGGTGTTCCTGATAATGGCGTGGTCGATGCTGCGTTGGAATAGGAGCTTATGAACGTGAGCCAATTTGTTTTTGACAGCGGGTTTCATCCGTGAGGTTGTTTGAGATGCCAATTTACGATGATGTGATGTGATAGGGCCATGTAAGTTCATTGTGACAGGGACGTTACTTTCCCTTTGGGTGCATCCAGTGACCGGTTGTTTTCAAACTCTGAACGTAATACCAATTGCAGGTGAGGCGGGTTGGAAATGTGTCACACTGAGGTGTCAAATCCTCTTCGTTGTATGCCACGCGGATTTTAGAAACACACAACAAGATGTGAAATCCTGAGACATGCCGAAGTCTTTTACCTGGTCTTGGAGGAGTTGAGGTGCCGGCATCTCTGCGGAATGATTGATCCAGAGGTGGACATTAACATGGTGAATCGCTTCGAGAAAATGTTCTGATCCAACACGTTGAGCGCACCTGAAGCAGGTGAGGTAATACAGAACGCAATATTGGATCTCTGCTTCAATAAATTGCTGAAGAGCAGAAAGGTCTCGACTGGCACAGGCTATTTATGCAATAGACACTGAGCTTTCCGAGCTGTCCCTGCAGTTCGTCGAGTTTCGTTACTTTCAGGCACAGTAAAATTTTGAGGTTCGGGAATGATGCCCGAAGAATGTAGCACGCACCAAACAGTAATCCACAAGTAGAGAGTCGTTTGTACAAAGATCTTTGTTTCCTGATTATCTAGTCGACCGCATAGAAACGCTTATGGACTAAACAAGGGCCCACTGTATCTAAAGCTAATTGAGTGAAGGTGTAAAATTGTCTGTGAGAGAACCCACTGGCTTCCAATGGATTTTATCACGCATCCCGTACATTCGACGATTTCTCCCAGCCACGAAAAAACTGACAAACTGGGCTGAAGGTTAAATGTGGAGAAGTGGAGACTTCACAATGGGGATGTAGATAACCGACGACTTACAACCTCATGGCACGGATGTCATGATCCAATTGAAGGTGTCTTCCTTACACTGTGACAGCCATAATGTTTCCAAATTAACCGCAAGTCTCCAAAGTTGGAAGACTGAACCTCTCAAAGCAGAATTGAGACAGATTTTAAAGTACAACTGGATCAAGCGCAGGAACATCGCTCACATACAGAAATGGACATATGCATGTTGGAACCTAATAAATCCTGGCCAGTCTGTCAACAGATCTAAAGCTTCAAAATTAGCAATTAACTCAGGTACATACGTGACATGAGATCTGTATTCCAAGGAACATCTTCCCCGCTCGATAATATGTGGTACTGTGGTACCCTTCGCCTCAGGACACCAGAAACTGCAGTTTGCCGAATCTCCAACCACACTCTAGCTCTAACATCCGACAACGAAACAACCTAGTGCCAGCGAAATCCACTATCGACTACTGTATACATCAAATATACTCATATTATTACAACTGATGCGGCCCTCATGCCCACACAAAACGTGTAGGCAACCACATCCTGCCCTCCTAGCATTCAACCACAGTTTCAGGTTCTACTGAGGTCATGTCTTCGTTGCTGCGTGCACTAGTGGCAAGCTTAGCTAGTCCAGAATCCAGGCTCTGGCGCCTGGTGTGAGAGGCAGTACTTTGTGGACGCTTTAGCACTCCCTTCTTCGTATCATCTTTGAAGCCTTGATCTCCGTTCTTGGTTCTGGCCACTGGAGATTTGGAACCATCCTGCTCTGCACCCAGACTAGCTCTCCGAGAAGTTTTCAGCTTCGGAGACCTGGGTCGAGTGGGTGGAATCTTCTTCATTTCTACTTTGGGTGGACCATCTTGGTAGAAGCTAGGTAAAGGAGTGGCTTTGAACTTGAGACCCTTTCGCAGCTCTTTCACCTTGTTCTCCGCCTCTTCTTCTTTCTTTGCCTCCATTTGGTTCTTTTCCTCTTCTTTGGCTTTCATTTTCTCCTCCAATTTAGCATAGAACTCTCTTCTTTTCTCTGCTCGCTCAAGGCTCTTGAAATTGAATCCAGAAGTATTGCCGCCTTTGCTCTTAACTGCAGCCATTTCCTCAGTCAACTTTGCATCTTCCTTGTCCAATGTTTCAAGCGCATCCTGATCCTCCTTAGAAAGCTCCATGGAGGCGACACCATTAATTGCAATGGTGCCATTGGTAGGTTTGGGTGCGAAGTCTGCTGGAAGAGACTTTCGGGTTGAACGAGAATTTTCGGGTTCTTGGATCAGAACATCTAGTGAAGTTTCAATTGCTTCCCTGTGAAGCAGAAATTATGTCAAAACAAAACTTTGCGGGCACGAGCGACAACAATGAGACTGACCAGCTTAGCAATTAGGAGTGACGAGTATTACAGCAGCGATTAATCATCCAGCGTTTCACAATGGCATCCAGATTTCAGTGACCCGGAATGAGGAAGGGATGATTTGAGGGCTGTGTATCACGCAGAAGTTATTCGAGCATGTATCTATGAGCGTACATTTTGCAGGATTCGGCAAGAACGGGAAACTAGAGCTTAAAGTATAGAGATGACAGGTGAGCAACATACACAGATCCTGTGCGTGAATGATCAGCAGGAGCGTTAACGACTCCGCCCTGTTTGGCCTTCACGAATTTAGGCTTGGTCTTCACGTTACCCTTTTGCGGCTTTTCCTTTTCCTTGTCGTCTACTTCCTGTGGCAAAATAACTCATAATCAAATCCCTGAAGCAGTTCAATTCCCATGGAATGAAATGCTGTTCATTTAGAGAATAAGAAAATGTGCTCCACTTCAAACTAGTCGTGTAAATTCACATCTCATATGCATCACGAACCGGAGCAATCTTGGCTGTAAGTCGATCTCCGAGCCCACCACGGCTTTTTTTCAACGAGTTCAATTCCTGCAAAATTCACTACTCGGGTTACATAAGTCACGGTGGTTTAACAATGGACTTGTTTAAATTCCAGACATTGTCGGTTCCAGTCCTTATCAACCGAACTACGTGATTGGGAAAGTTTGAGACGAGGATATCAATCATCCACGAGCAAGAGATAGGAGCTACAGTCTACAGGTGAAGAAAAGCGAACTTTTAAACCACCACACATCAAGAAATAAATTGCCCGGTAGTATGCTTTCGGTCTAGGGGAAATTTTGAGCATAAACCAAACAAACCTAACTTACATGAAAAAATTACACGAACCTTGCGAGTCGATTCAAGTTTTAATTGCAATTCAAGGTTCTGCGCCTTGGAATTTTGTAAAGCCTTCAAAGCATCTTTTACAGTTCCCTCAGCCTACACAGCAAGCAGCAAGCTGGGCATAACTCACGATCCAGATCTGCAAGTACCTGAGGCTATACCAATGGTGGGGCAAATAGATCGGAAACAAAAGAGCAACTCAACACGAGCTTTACAATCAGAAACGCAACAAGCTCGAAAAGCACACAACCAAAACTACAGTGCACTGATGTTTTCCAAGACAGCACCTGTGCAGATAGATTGGTGTCACAATGTGCTATTGTCTCGACAAATCTACGCTACCAAAAATAAAAATAAAACTCCGAGCGCACTCTCTTAAACTCGAGTCTCACTGCGATAAGGGGGAATTCCAGATGATAGAACAGCCATACATTGAGATATTTTTTCTCAAAATCAGCGCACGCTTGTTTCTGGGCCTCAAGTTGCTCTTGTAAATTACGGATAAAGGCGTCAGCCTTTAACACAACCACCTCAACATTCCCGCCCCCTGCCTCCAGCTCCGAGTCAGTCATAAACAAAGGCATTCTGTCTACTGCCGCAGGTACCCTAGAAGCAGAATCCAACTCGTCGCCTGTTACACCTCACAGTACTACAATCCTTGAGTACTGATGTCTCCAGACAGTCGATCGGAGTGAAAGCAGTGCTCCAGTTGCCACAACCTATTTCCAAACAGACACAGTCGCAGTTGAATGTTTAATTCAGGCAGAAATGCTCCTCAGAGAAGTTCTCAAGGCTGCGTTGAGAAAAGCCTTACACACCTAACAATTTGACTCTGGAACCCATAACCTCGTGCAGTGAACCCCGGCCTACGTCACAAACGAGCTTCACGTGCAACTGAGCGTAACCAACCAGTGTCCAAGGTAATACTATTTCGAACTAGATCGCCCTTCAAAAAGAATATCAAGCCGAATCCCTAGGTGTTGGCGCGGACTCAGAATCCGATATGCACAGAAGCTGGCTCCAAGTGAAACGGTTGATCACATACTTCCTACCCACCAACACATTCTACACAACACCATCACATCACACACACAGTGCATTACAGCGCGCCACAAGCCATTCCCACACCTCACGTTCATGAAGGATCCATGTCACACGAATCTCTCACCCCTGCTTCCCTCCCTTCCTCCTCTCCAGGCTCGCTTCCACTTCCGCTCCACCACGCTTCCTGACCCACAAGACGAAAACCCCGAACGCTTTCCACCCGGTGTCCCAGCAAGGCTTTCAATCGCCACCACCACCTCAGCCACTTAGAGCTAGAAGACTCACCCGCAGTCTACCCCTTCTCGCACACAAGTTAAAAACACAACACGGACCCAATCACACTCGCAACCAAACACCCGCAGCATGAAACGCAACCAGCGACCAAACAACACACACTCAAATACTCATTTGGTAAAAATAATCAAACAGAAACTTATCGGACCCACGTCAGGAGATTGTGCGTGACACTCTGTCCGCGAGTAAATCCGTGGCCGAGCTGGTGGGCTCAGCTTAGTAAGTCAAGGAAGGGATTAGAAGAAGGAGGAGACGAAGTCGGTGAGTTTTTCGCGGGGAAGGTCGCTCTGGCACCCACATTGTGACTTCTCTGCCACATCACTGGATGCGACAGAGCCAGTGCCACGGCCACCACGGAAACCTCGACGCCATGGACGCCACACACTCGCGCGCGGCGTCATCGTAGGCTCGCGCGGCGTCGCACGGTTTCCCACCTATCTGCCTCGTCATTGCGTGTGCCCCATCGCCCCGCACTTCCTCCTACGGTCGTGGGTCTCCGCGGCCTCGAGCAGCGGATGTTGTTCCTCGTGACCATGCACATAGCTGTTATCCGTGCTCATTCCTTTTACCCATGTAAGGAATTTCAAAGTTGTTTTTGGAAAGGAACTTATAAATGCATATTTTCAAAAAACTTAGATTTTATCTACTTAGAGTATTAGCATTGGGGCTCCTTGCTTAATCTCAAGAGTGGTATGGTAAAGTAAGTTATTATTTCTCATACCAAAAGAAGAATCATGACCATAAAAATAAGATAAAATAAAATAATTGTACTATGTTTTTTCAAGATTATTTATGATAATAAGCAATAGTCATCAACATTCATACCTCTATCAATGGCAACAATAGTAAATGCTTCAACATGTATTGTTAGGAGATAATAGTAGTTAAATTCAAATTGTAGTTGTTTATAACAAGACCATTAGTAATTGTGACTTTAAAATTTCTTATTTTAAAATTTTAAAATTTGTGATTTTTTTAAAGTACAAATAGACATCTTTAATTTTAATATATATATATATATATATATATGAATATAATAATAAAAGTCTAAAGCTCTAAAAGTATAAATTTGGTTATTATGGTTGGTGATAAATAATATTCAATATTTTTTTGTTTAAAAAAATAAAATATTATATATTTATATATTTATTTAATATTTAAAATCTTTTATAAAATCTTAATATATAGCACATTTTTTTTAGTCAAATTGTAGAATCTATACATACATCAAAGTTTTGCAAATAAATCATAAGTCAAATATACAAAATCAAATATTATTAAAAATTTTATATATATATTATTATCTTTTATAGATTACTATTAATTTTATAGGTTTTAAAAATATCATTTTATAAAATAACAATAATTAATAATAAAATAAAATAAAAACATGGAAATATACATTTGAAAGACAAAAAATACTTAGAATGGCTATTTCTAAGTACAAATAAATCAAAGAGGCTTTAATCAAGAGTAAAACATAAGAATTACATTTAGAAAAACTAAAGATGCCATTAATCTTCCTCCTATTTATATTAAATAATAATAATAATAATAATAAGATTATTAATTTGATTCATATTTTCATTAAATTGATCCATTATGTAGTATACGTGACCTTTGTGTGTATTGACAAAATGCCAAAGCTGATTTCTTTTTCAAATTCCTCTACCAAAGTTGTCATTAGTGTAAAATATAACTAAGTTTTTATAGCAAGAAGGAACACCACAACATTTTGGTAGATCTTTTGCAACATATCCATATATGAAATAAAATTTTTATACACATCATATTCAAATTTGGCAAGAACAATACCTCCAATGAGCTAGATGCACTCTTAACTTGTTAATGTAATGAAAAAATGCAATTAATGAGTTATCTATTTAAACTACATTGGTAAGTTTTACAAGTTAATATACATTGACATTTGACAATTTGAAATAGAAAATACAACTACAAGCCTTTGGCATCATTAACAAGCTAATCTTTTGCTTGTCATTTTTAGCCAATATATAAAGAAATAATTGTTCAAATGTTTGGTGCATTGGTGGCTCTAAAGAATGTTGTGATTCATTGTGTCAAGGAGACTCTATAACTCACACTATTGCTCATATCATCTTTAATGAGCTCCAATGTCTACATAAAATTTGCCTCAACAGTTGTCCATCTATTCTTATCATTATTATAAAAAAAATAAAAAAAATAATAAAAATAAATAAATAAATAAACTTTGTGATGCACTATATCAATATGTATACAAGTATAATGCAACAAGTAAGAAAAAATTCCTCAATTTCTAGCACACTTTAATAAGTCTAGGTTGCAAATGGATACTCATATAATATTATTATAGATTATATATACAAAACCAACAAATTCAAGATGCTCATAATACATGTTGGAGTAATAAATTTTTATATTTTTTATTACTCGTATAATTATTTTTTCTAAAACTACATTGACCCATATATATTCTAGGTATTAATGCAACTTATTGTCAAGAATAAGAACTCGATGAAAAAGCAATTCAGACAAGTAAGCCTTCACTCAAAAAAATGTAACAAAATATACATAAACAAGTATGTATATTTAAAGAGAAACTGGAATGGCTATTGCCAAAAGACAAGAAGCTATTGCCAAAAGACAAGAAAACTAGAGACCCTTGAAACTAGACTGGAAGCAAGAAAAGAGTTGACAAGAGTGAAGAAGGCTTCACTCCTATCTCTATATATACTATCTAACTAGGGGCTACATGGCAACGTTCTATAGGACCTCTGATAAGTGTTGACTTTGTAGGACACATGCCTTGACTTACAAGGCAAGTTTTTCTACGTGTGGGCCACATTTTTAGCTTGGTCTTCAAGCTAACAACATGTGTGGCACATGGCCAACTTGTTGACCACGTTTTTAATCCAAAAAGTCAATTAAAGATACCTATAAAGTCAAAGCAGCATCTATGAAGCTTTTATGAAGCTTCCATATCAAATACTATAGAATTAACCTATTTTTATCTATTTTTACTTATTTCTACTTATTTATATATGTAATTATTCGCTTACATGAATATGTCTGTGACACTTATTCACTTATATAAAAGCTTCAAATCCTTCACCATTAGAAGTCATCAAGATTTTGTATTAATAAATACTATTAAAGAAGTATTATCCACATTTTTTTTAATGTTGTGTATTTGACACATTATAAGAATATCTTAGCTAATTGCAAGCAGCATTTTGACTCCAAGTTGGAGAGAGATTAATCATACTTTTTTTCAAATCACCTTCTAACAAAGCCTTTGACATCAAGTGGTTGAGTTTCTATACAAAATATGCTTTGATGCCAATTAAAGAAGTTGTTAAGTACTTGTGCAAAACTTCATTTTTCACATAAAGGATGGTTTTTCAAAAGCTCATCAAATAATATTCTTTGCCTTGGGAGCATTACCAAATCACATACACATGGTCAGCATATGGCGCTAAAGTTGTATACAACTATTATAATATTTTGTTTTTTGTAGCAATGCTGTAAAATGTGTGCCAATGCAAACTATAGACCTTATCTTTAAACATTTCAAATTTGGTGTTGCACTCTAGAGTCCTAACAATCCTCCTTGCTTTGGCATATATATATATATATATAAAAAAAATATAAAAAATATAAAAACACATTGAATATTTTGTGCAAGTAACTTATTTGAAGCATGCTAAGCAACAAAGTATTTGTTTAGGGTTAGCAATTTCCATTCTCAATGTTAAATTTATTTTTTGCAAAATTGCTCCCATGCAAAAGAGTCTATGGAACAGAGACCTTCATAGTTTGACATTGAAGCTTCTGCAGCTGCAAACAGATGCCACCATAAGAATTGCAAAGAGACTAGACATAATATTTATATATGTCCAACTTGAGTTATATTTACTTTATAATGATTTGGATTGTGAATGAATCTCTATTTGTAGTGTTAGTAAGAGTGAGATGGGAGAAGGCTTTAAGGAAAAAAAAATGTTTAGTCAACTTGTTTACTCTTTGTTTTAATGTTGCTGATAGTTACATGGATTATTAAGGCCCGCAGCAATTTTTTAAGGTTTGGGCTAAAAAAATAATCAACAAACAGAGTCTCAACCAATACTTGAAAGGAAATTGTAAGAAAAAAAATTCAATGCATAATGGTCACATCAAATGTCACGTGATTGGTTGATATAGTAAAAAATTAGATTGATATAACAATTTTTTTTCTCTCTCTCTCTCTCTCTCTCTCTTTATATATATATATATATATATATAGAAATTAGTAGTATAACATATTACTAATATCTCAATCTATATAGACATGTAGTAACAACATTCTTAAGATTTTCAAAACCATGTTTAATAGTAATTAATTTTTAAAATAATTTTTAATACATAAAGAAATACAAATATAATTATATAATTTTTTTTGATAACCAATTCAAGACAAGGGTCTGAAATAATATTATTCAATAGACCTATACCTATGATTTTGTAATTATAACTTATTAATTTTAAAAAATAAAATTAATAATAATTATGATAGATAAGTTAAATTTAAAAATATTTCAAGTAAAACATCAATGTTTTTTCAAATTTTATTTTAAAAAGAGAATTAGATAAAATAATGAAATATATATATATATATATATATATATATATATATATTCCATAAAGATTTAAATCTTGAATATCAAGAATTTTGATTCATATACTTAGAACACGAAATTAGGATAGAGAATCTATAACCTAAAATTGGATTTTCAGCCTTAAATTTTCATTTTTATTTTTAGAAAATATTTTATAATTATGATAATTAAGATTTATAAATTATGATAAATAAATTTAATTTTACTAAGGTCCATGTCTAGTATCTTAATCAAATTTAAGCTTATTTATTAGAACTAAAATTTGAGTGAAGATTAGGATTATTAATAAAACTAGATCACACATGAATTTTAGAACTAAGTCTTAAGGCTCCCAAAATTGAATCATAAAATTTGGTTCATATCATTTTTTGGGCCATTTAACTTACAACATTTGCAAAACTAAGAATGAGATGTTGACCGGTTGGATTTCTATATAGTGTAAAAGACTTAAAAAATAGACAGGATGGAAATTTATCATTGTTATTAACCATATTTGTTTATTTTCAATACATAGTCTAGCTCCCATGGTAGAATGTGAAAATTCATCTCCTCAACCATATATAAAGTGCTTCAATAATTTATTGTTTTTATCCTGCATTACTATCACATTAAGAAAATATTTAAACATGTAATACCCATAGTATTACATTTTTTTTTTTTCATATTTTGAAGTTTTGTAGTTCACATCGTATCTTCGTCACACAAATTAATTGTTGAAGGTTACTTTGGGAGCCACAAACTTAAGTTGCTAATACACCCAAGTTGGCTCTTCCACTTCGCAAGGAAAAATAATTTTCAAGAGGTTGTAGCTCTTTTCAAAAGAGGCAATCAAAATCTCAAAGAATCATCATGTTTCCAACTTTCCACTCAATCATAAAGCATTAAATGAAATTTATTCTTATTTTTATACATATACATATACATGGTCTTTTCAACAAAAACACTAGCAAATCAATCTATCAGGGTCACATCTGCAAACAGAGCATGGTCTCCAATGAGGTAATAATATGAACTGTGTAATGCAGCAACCACATCAGCCAGAATGGTGACGTGGCATGCTGATTGGCCATGTCAGCTCCCCCCCCTCCTTCAATACTCTTTAATCCTTTCCCCCCTTTTTCTTTTACGTTTACTTTTTACTCCCACTCTTACAATTGGGTTCCCTTCATTGTACGAGACTCTGGCAGTGGGTCCAAGTTATGGGTGGCGGAAGCAAAGTGGGGGGGGGGGGGGCTATGATTGTGGGGCTGCACATGATTTAGTGAGCTTCGTAGAAACAAACAAAAACAAAAATAAAAATAAAGACACAGTTTGGCACACCCTTATTTATTATTATTGGCCAGAAGGACCCTCCCACCCTCCCCCTTTCCCCATGTGGACATAACCCACCATTGGGAGCCCACATGGAAAGCAAAAATAACACACATTAATGGATGGATGAATAATGGTCCATCGATGGATGAATAGTCGGATGGGTGTCACTCTTCTCATGCTGCCAACAGGAATGCTAACTCACAGCTGCTGAGCTGGCATGGGGTGGAGGGGAGGGGGGGGTGGGTGGTCCACCATGTTCCGCTGCAGAATGGTTGTGCCCACCCCCATGGGAACAGGGAGGGGGGGGGATGTGGACTGTTCCAATGTGTAATGTGGGAATACAGTAAATGTAGTGAGATGGAGGTGGTGGTATTTATAGATGGTTTTGCTCAAGTCCACAACTCTGTTCAGGAGTGCAATGCAAGAATTGCTTCAATATTTTTTTATCAATCCAACCACTGTGCCATCAGAACCTTGTTTCCTCACCCTAAACAAAAAAAAATTATATATATATATATATATATACAAAACCCTAAGATCGCTGAAAAATCTTAAGTTGACAGTTTAAGGTATTCCGATATTAGATAGATGTGCCACTGTTGTTTTGTTTAGCCTTCCAATACTTTATTTCTCCTTTTTTTTTTTGTTTGTTTTTTTTTTTTGTTTTGATTTCCTATTTGTTTGGTTATTTGTGTTTTCTCTTTTCTATCCCTCTCTTCTGTTTGTTATTAATTTGTCTGTTTGTGCTTTTTCTTTTTTCTTTTCTTCTTTTTATCATTTGATTATCTGTTTATTTTCCCTTTTTGGACGGCAGCTTCACTTGTTGGAAAAAAAATCTCCAGAATCAAAGGGAGGTTAACTATATCCTTCACAAGCTTTTTGTGTTGGAAGCCAGGGTTTCTCATAAGAATATTTATATATATATATATAAATATATATACATACATACATACATACAAACACAAATGTAGGGGGTGATTGGCCACATGTTTTAAGTGAAGTTTAGCAGGGATTTCTTTTTTTGGATTTATTTGCTTTTATTTAGAAATATTGTAGAATTATTGAGTTTCTCTCCTTTTAATGAGTCATGAAAGGAGAGAGAAACATGGAGAATGAAGATGACTGAGACAATGACATGAAAGTTCTTCAGAGAAAGAATGATTGTTGAAATGGTCTTTGTCTTGACAACTAATGTGGAAAGTCTCTTTGGATGGCATCTAGAGGATTTGTTTGCAATAATAAATGATAAGAAAAAAAAAGAAAAGAAATTTTTTGTAAGTATATGTGTGTGTATGTATTGATTAATACAAACAAATATGGTTTTGATTCTAAATGATCACAAGTGTTGTTGATGAGGCAAATTGATCTGCAAATCATTCCATCCAACAAAGCTTTGATGATTTGGAGGACTTTGGATCTGAAGTAGACCTATCACAATTGTAGAGTATAGATTGAGAGGCTTTCACATGCTTTTTTGTGGTTGTGACATGGCACTGGGTGTAAAGCTCAATAATGAGGATCATGTTGAAAAGAAACCCATGGAGTTGTTGTTTTTGTCTCTATACACATGATTTTGTGGTCAAAAGGTGTTTGACTATGTTCCAATTCCTTTTAAAGCCTTTGCAAAAACCTAGACACATGCAAAAGAAATTTACTATGTATGATCCATATTCTGTTTAGTAAGAACAAACTGTTGCCAAATCTAGTTTTTTGTAAATGAAATTTAAAATAAGTAGGAACAAGGAAGTAAGAAACTTAAACAATTAAATTAAAAATTATGGTTCAAAAATGTTGAATACATTTGGTTACAAAATGTTGGATTAGTAATTTGGGTACATTTCTCTCTACATCAAAATTTGTTTATATGGGAATGGAAGAAAAAGGAGATCAGAGTGGAAGACTTAACTTCACTCTCAGCCCACGTGCGTAGTTAAGTGACTAAAGGCGATAGTTTAATAATTGTTTAAATGCTTCAGGTTGAATTGATACAAGGAATCCTAAAATTATTCCAAATTGTGCTTCGATGAAACTTTGGAATCATTACGTGCCCTATTTGCTCTTCAGAGAACATTACACACAAACCAAGTTTACCTTTGTTCTTTTCTTCCAAGTTTTCATATTTAATGCAATTTGTGCTTCCTTCTGATGCAACTTGCCATCCTCAAAGTTGTTTAAGGGCATTCCAGAACACAATCAAAAAATTCCTGTTCACTTCTTGTGCAGAGATACTTTATTACTTCTATTCAGACAAAAATCCCACATAGCCAATTCTCCCTATCTCGCAAAAGAGAAGAGAAAAAAAAACCATGTAACTTTTCATCTTCTGGTCTCTCATCTTTCTCCTTCCATTTCAAAGTTACTGAACTGTTCATATCTTCTCGTGGAATCCCACATTTCAATCGAGTTCAAGCAGACATGAAAAGTACACACGGTATTCAATAGAGAGACTCTTTCTATGCCCTTGAAAGAAAAAGTATATCCAGTTTCAAGCCAATCACGTAGATAGTTCTAATATTCAAGGGACACATTGTCTCAAGACAATACCAAGCCAAAAAGGAGCACTCACATATACTATAACATGTCTATCAACTCTCCATCTTTTCATCCCTTTGAACGATTGGCATTCCCAACATCAAACTCAAAGCGAAACATTTCATAAGAAATGATATAATTTTATTGGGTTACGGCGATTCAAATGAAGCAGCTCAAGTCAAAGATACCAGTGCAAGCTAGAGAAAACATTACAACTGATATGCTTGACACCTTTATGAATGGGAAAGAATCGAAATAAACATCCCAGCAAAAAAAAGCTGAGAGTTCGAATTTTGAGCGGTCGATCCAGGATACGCATAAGAACTTAACCTAGAATAGCTTGAAGAATGTACAATACTCTCAAAGCGCGAAGATGAAGAAAACTATAGTGTCTGCCCGACAGCATTATCATCAATGCGTAGATTCTGGTCGATTAAACTACGACTTTCATGCGTGAGATCATTTTGAAATACAGAGGCAATGAGCACCACAAAACTTAGGGCTGTCATGAAATACTGACAATTCCCTTCAACTAGATTTAATTAACATTAGTCTGAATATGTTTCTCGTAACGCTTGGCTTTCTCTCCCACTTGCTGATCATAAGCCTCAACAGCAGCACTCCCTGCAAGTGCTGCTAAGGTCAAAAATTGCGCGTGTAGCCTGTGGAACATCAAGTGAACCACATAAGTATAGCCCACACTGATCAAGCCTAGGTCTTCTCCAAGGGCCTCAGAAACGACGTTAGACATTGATAAAAAGAAAAAAAGAAAAAAAAGAAAAAATTGTGATTACATCAACATGCAGCCGTTCCAAAAAGAATCAAACCACCAATTAATTCTACAATGGTTACGAAACATCATTAGCCGTTGCAGTGATCTACCATCGCCTAAAAATACTTCGAAAAGTTCAAACAACAAAGTTCATGATTAAACTTCCAACGAAGCTCATTGAATTCCATCAGTTTCTCAAGCCAAACTGAGTTGAGTGCACATTCTTGCAGGCTTGGCCAACAATCTACACCATGAATTACATGTATCGCAGAGGTCTACTTTAGAAAAGAAGGAGATTAGGATTGTGAGTAACTATTTAAATACGAAGTTATTCCCAAAGTTTTCGACCATACTCTTCCTTATAATGGTTCTGGTTAGAAACTTACCTGGCGTGTATCAATTTCACACTCATCTTCACACCCGGCTGAGCGAAGTTGTAAGCAAATGAGCCTAGTAATGAGGACGCCCAAAGAGTGCCTGTAAACCGCCATACGATTTTCAGAATATAAGACTAACAAGGATGGACTAACATTCTTTGAAAATTACAAGAACGTTTCAAACTCATCAGGTAAAAGAAAACACATTAAGTACACTTCAAAAAATTTAAGCACTTTGTATTGTATAGAGCGAACTTTATGTTTCCTTTGAAATTTTCTTCATGGTAGATAGGACATTTTTCCAATTTCTTCTTTTAAAAATTAAAGAACCATTTCTCTTAAACTCCGCATATTACTTTGACAAATCAACCGAGATGACACATTACAGTCGACTGCCGATCGCAAGTATCTTCTAAACTTGCAAGCTATAAACCACAAACTAAGCATACGAATACCACATCCACTAGCAAGGTCACAGATTGCAAAAATAAACATGACCAAACTTCCTCGACAATGCACCCATTTAATCTCTTTTTAACCCTTCACACGGATGAGGCCTCTCAAACAACCCCACAACAAATGAGGTCGAACAAATTTCTCGAAACTAAACGCAATTACCCACAAACCCACAACACCAACCCACAACCTGAGCAGTGATCATCTGTCCAACCCTAAAATTCCCACGCATCGACGTCTGTGGCATCAGTCTAAAATCGGCAAAACTCATAAAAACACACGAGAAGGCTCGCTGCAAACTGACCAACTGCACGCAATTTGTGCTCCACAAACCACTCCCGAATACTCTGCATATCCATGGTGACGCCGGAAACGCTCCAGCAAACGGAGCGCTAAACACCTGAGAAGGAAAATCACAATAAATCAAAAAAAAAGAAGCTTGGTCCTATATTCCGAAATCGACACCACATTCCGCGACACCGTCGCCCACAGGACGTTTCCGCAGAGACTCCTTTTGGGGCGCCGGGCCAAGTGTTCGTTAGGGCTGACGTGGAATCGCTCGAAACGGTGGCCTTCTTTCCTCACTATAAACGTACATTTGATGTATATACTTTGTGGTACTGAAACTATGGATGACAATGCAAGGTATTGAGAAGATTAAGGATGATTGTAGAGGCTTTTTTACACACAGAAGTTCATTTTAAAAGGTCATGATTCAAAAACCTTCTCAAAATGCTGTTTGTTGTGATGAAAAGTTCTCTTTCGTAAGTTTTGGGCTTTTGGATGTAGAATAATGTAAGAGGGATTTTTTAAAATAGACCAAATTGTTCTTTAATCACAAGTATTCTTTTCTAATTTGTACTATTATTAAACTTCATATTATGCTAAACATACCATTTGCTCACAAAGTGGTTTCTTCATTCTACATTGCTGATTTTCAACATCTCATTTGCATTGTTTTATTCCTTGTACAATTTATTTTAAGGTGATATTTAGAATGGTTGGGCATTTCTTTCTAGAAAACCTATTTGACATGTTTAAATTGCTTAGAGCTTTTTGAGGTTTCATCTTTTCAATCTACTTGAGAATCTCTTTACCAACCTCAAACTCATCACATTTATATATTATATATATAATATTCATAATATATATATATATATATAATCAAATTTTAATATATGATTAAAAAATAACTTAGCATTTATAAGTTTGTAAACTTGCATTTCAAGTCCTTAATGCCTAAGACTATGTAATGCTTGAATGATGCATTACAAATCTATATAAATCTATGTATGTTACTATTCTTATATTTATTAGTGCAAATACAATTTGATAAGATAATTGATTATTGCACTACATTACAACTATTTTTTCAATTAAAAAATTGCTTGATGGTTTGTGTTTAATTGTATTTCTTCAACATAACTATATACTTATTTAATATTTCAAATTATTTTTTTATATTTTAAAATATTAAATTTATATAATTAATATAATTTATACACAATAAAAGGTGATCTAATTTTATATAATCAATAAATATATGAAAAGATTTTTTAAGAGTCTTTTATTTTTAATTCTTAAAGAGATTATAGATACATTATTTAATTTATTTAAAATATAATTATACTAAATAATATGTATATATATATTATTTATTTATTTATTATTTAATTTTTTCTATTTTAGGATAAATCTCAAATCATCTTATAAAGATTATACATATATTATTGTACTTTGATTATTTCAAATTTATTTAAAGTTTTTAAGATTGTAGATAATTATCATTTTGAATAATAATAATGATATAATCTATTTGATTTTTCATCATTCTATAATCCTTAAAGATAGACTTTTCAAAGACTTCTTCCTTTTCTATTCTTTAACTATGTAAAATACAAAGAGCATTTGAATTAAGTGGCTAGAAAATAATATGTAGCACATATAACATCTCAACAATAGCATAAGAATTCTACACGTTGCACATAAGAGGTTGTACATCATAATGTCTCAAATAAAATACAATATATATAAGTCCTCAAATTAGACCATGAGTGAATTGATACACATTGTATATCTTTCAAAGAGACATTGTGCCAATAAAAATTACAATCAAATAGAAAAGCATGTATTTTGGCAGGGCATATGATATACAAAGTTCTTCTTGCTTGTTATTCTTTAAATAAGCAAGTAGGTAATCTTTGCTATACTTTTGGTATAATAACCAGTTCTTATGGCCATTATTGAGCTCCTTACTACATAGAAGAATATATATCTAATTCTTTGTATGTAAATCTTTGCTTCAACATATATTACATCAATAAAAAAATCACTCTTTTGCCATCTTTTTTAAAGTCTATTAGAATATACTATCTATAAAGATAAAGAGTTCTACAAAAATATTCACAAATATAAAAATACATTAATTATAATGTATATTGAGCCAAATATAAATTAACATTTTGTACATAGCAATACTTTTTATTTACAATCTATAAAGAAAGATATACCATCAATTAGATAGTCTTTTTGCAATTAGAAGTAATACTCCAAAATTTGCGTAATTATATATTTTTAATTTGCAAGTTGAGTTAAATAACATATATGTAATGATTGTTGGACTAACACTATTAAAATCCATAAAAATTTCCAAAATAACACTAATAAAATCCATAAAAATTAACCATAAAATCCATTACTATAATTTTAGACTTTGTTAGCTTTGATTGCAAAAGGATGGAAGCTTTGCAAAACAAATTGCACACTTATGATCCATATGTACAATGGTTTGTTAATATTGGCTAGAGTTGAATGGACTTGCAAAAGATTTTAGTATTGAGCTCTTAGTAATTTGGCAAAAAAATGACCAACAATATAATGTATCATTTACAAATGAAGTTTGCAAAATTTTGGTGAAAGATGATAATAATGGCAGTTCTAGCAAATAAGACATTGTTGTTAGAAGTATCAATGGAGATCCTTACATTATTTTTGTATTACATCCATCATATTTACATATCCATTATGTACTTTTATTTATAGATAGACAAGATACATGAAGTCCAAAAATAAACTTGAATGGATTTTAAAAGAATATGGGTGTATTTATAACTAAGTATAAGAAATTGCTTATAATTATTTATAACTAAATATAAGTTGCTTAGCTAAAACTATTCAGATCAAAGCAATTCTAAGCATATAACTTAATTGCAATTCTAAAGTTGTATGCTTTACATGCATGCAATGAAACCTTGATCCTTTAAGTTAGATATATCTTTCTATAATTTATAATAAATAAGTATGCATATCTATAGTAGAAGCACTTTAAGTCTATTAAAAAAAAACTAGAAGTATATACCAATCCTTATTACAGACTCTAACATGCATTTAATGTCAAGGATTTCAATACAACAAATATAGGAAAGAAATTCATTCTTCCATCTTTATTATTAATAGGATTGTAAAAAAATTGTGCAACTATATCAAGATGGAATAATCATAGTGCATTAATTTGGACATCTATGCTTCTTTTTTATCATTATCTATAATTTCAAATATCCAAATTTTAATTAAACTTCTATCTAGTTAGAAAATAAAGGATAAATTTAAAATAGTCAATCAAGTATTTAAATTTAAATCAATTAAGCTTTACTAAAGATTTGTAGAATTTGTTTTAGATTTATTATTACAAAATTATAGGTGATTTCTTATTATTATTATTATTATTATTATTTATATATGTATATTTTAATTATTTTGAAAGATGTGTATGAAATATCTTTTTTTAGAGAAATACAACTCAATAGTTTTAGCTAAGCTCTCAAACTTCAATATATATCCTAAAACACAGGACATAATGGTCTTTTCGTTTGATTATTGCCCTAGTATTGTTGAGAATTCAAATGCCTCTTGTAAAGAACAAAAAAAAAGTGCACAAAATACTATTTCTATGATTTCAATTGAAAGACATGTTGTAATAAAGATAGATATTTGATGTATTGTCATTGCAATGATGATGTAAGATAGATAATTAACTCTAATAAAAAATTGATGTAAGATAGATAATTATTATGTTGTACCACATAATTTTAATTTGGCTACAAAATACAATACATATATCAACATAGAGGTAAAGCAAATAATTTTTTTTTATCATAATGTTTAATATTTTAGATATGTATATATATATATATATATATATATATATATGTATTTATTCAATTCATTCTTGTCCTAAAGAAATATTTTTTTTTTCCAATTTTTCACTCAAATATATTTATAAGAGTTACAACTATATTACTATTGTTTTTAAAAATCATGGCAAAACTAAACAATATGTTGATGATTGGTAAATTTCTATGTTTGAAGTAACATGGTGTTTGAGTGTTTTTGGGACACATGGTGGATCTCTGATTTGTTATGCAATTACGATTTTATTACACAATTAGCAATTAATTATATTTCATACAATTAAGAATATTGGACAAATTTAGAATCTTAAGAAGCTTAAAAAATAATATTGATTGAGTACTTTGGAGCAAACATGGTGATACTAAAAGCTTGAGAAGTGCTCTATGGAGATTATTTATACATCTTATGTAGGATAATAAGCACAAGGCTAGGAAAAAGTGTCAATGAGGCACTATAATTGATTACTTATATTTTGTCAACTCCTTAGTAAGTGAACAATATTTCCTCCAAACACTTCTTATAGTAGTTAAATTGACCACATTGTTTGAAGAATTTCAAATTGTTCATTGTCATGTTTATGAAATATTTCAGATTGTAGTTTACATGGCACAAATAATAAGTAGAAGCAATGTTTAACTGAAATTGTAGAAATGAGAAAAAATATATGATTTTGTTCTTTTTTTACACTTTTGACATATAGCATGTTGGCTTCTAATATAAAGGCTATAAAGTCTATGGATTTTATTTTTATTTTTTATTTTTTATTTTTATGGTGAACAAGATTAATATTTTGAAACAAATCTTAAAAATATGTTCATATTGTTTGTTTGTACAAAAATAAGTGAGCAACCACCATACATGTAATGTATACCAAGCTTGGAGATAAAACATTTGTTAATTGGTCTCTTTCTCTTAGTAAAAATAAACTCATTGGTATAGAAAAAGATTATGTTAATTGCCTGCCAAGCACGGTTTTATGTTAAGAATATATCTTGGGCTCAATCAATAAAACATACTATGGAATGCAAACTTGCCCATAAAACAAAGAATTTTTGAGTAAGCATGTTATTTTTACTACTTGCAATGGCGAACTTGTAATAAATAAAAAATTATTGACAAAAAGTCAAGGATTTTTAAATGTAGAAAAGATTGACAATCCAAAAGGCATTAAGATGGTTTCAACAAAATACATGAATATATTAGAGATATCTTTTCAACCAATCAAAAGATGTTAGATTAATACCCTCTCACCTTGTTTCTGGAGCATTAAGACTCCGTTGGTTTTGATTTAAAACTCTCTAATTTTTTATATTTAGTAATATTTATTTTAATTCATTTGTATCTTTTGATTGTATTTCTTTTTGGTCGTCTTTCTTTTAGTTCAATAATTCATAAGTATATCGTCTTTATTCTCAATATCTATAGATTTATATCTTTAATAATATAGGTATATTAGAAAGAAGCACATTGATTCTGAAAAAATACACAATTGTTCTTCAAAATATATATATGATTTTTTAAGTTATGGATGTTTTTTTAGTTAATACATCTATTAATCTCAAATGCTTTTGAAAATCACATGCAATGCAAAAATAAAATAAAATAATTGCAAGTTTTGATAATCCCAATAATAAATAAAACTTAATAAAAGTATTAATTACTTGTTGTCTTGTTATTTGCATAATTCTTGAATATATTCACGGTATTTATTTATTTTTTATCTTCAATTTCGGTTCCAAAATCCCACCTATAAATATTAAATTTAATGATGTTGAAAAATAATATCTTTGTATGAAATAAATAATTGAATTTATTGAAATCTAAAACATCCGAATTAAAGTTGTGCATATTAATACTATTAGTAAAAAAAATTAAAAATCTATTATTATAGTTTTATGTTTTCACAATTAATTTATAATTTTAGCAAATAACTGATAAAAATCATCTTCTTCACTATCTGATTCTATTTTTTATTATTATTAATAACAAAAGTGTAATAGTAAAATGTAAAATTTCAAGTAACTGTGAAGAACAATAGGAAAAATTAATATCAAGTTGAAAAGATTGATGGGTTATAATATGTTTGCATTAAACCAAAGACATTTCTACATAATATGCTAACCATTTGAGTTGGAATAAGATTGCATTTTAATATTTTTTAAATTCTAAAAATAGAAACCTTACATTCACCCAAAAATTAAAATATTATTGCAATCAATCATTTCTACTCCAAACTTTATTTTCATAAAAACATTACATAAAAAACTATCAAATTTGGCAAATTTAATTCACTTAGAAGCAAATTCTTGTACACATCAGCACACCCCTTTAACACTAATAAGCTACAATAAAGATGATTTGTACACAATGCACTATTAATTTACATTACATCTAAGCACAACTGTAACTCAAAAAAATAAATAATAAATAAAGTAAATAAATCCTTACACACTTCCAATATTGTAACAATTTCTATAAAAATTCAATAAAAGAAAATTCATTATAGGAAAATATAATGTAAAGGAAAAGTAACATGCCCCGCTGAATCAAAGGCTATACAACCCACCCACAAGCAAGTAGACATAATTTTCTTGGTCACAATATTGTGGACCAGATCACGTGCACATGCACATGGAATAATAACCCGGAGGACTCGGCGTCGCAAAAGCCTAAACTCATGGATCTAGAAACGCACCATCACAGATTGAATCCACAACACCGTCGCAGTTGGTGGCGTTGAAATCAAATCCATATGGTTCATGTACTTCCAGCGACACAATCACAGCTCCAAAATGACGCATCAGTTACAGTCAAAAGAGGCTGTTAGCCCATGTATTACGATGAGTTTTGTGAATGAGCTCCACCTGTGAAGATAACTTCACAACACCGAAGTATATGAGTCCTTGCAGGCGGGTTTGTTTCAAGCCTCGGAGACCAGGGTCTGCGTGCTTTCTGTGCTTGTAGCAGGCTCCGCACACAGACATTCAGGGGCAGGATGTGTGTACAGTGACGCTTTGGGTGGCTGGGTGAAGTGATCATCTGTTTTGACCGGAATTGGCTTTCGAAGCTGGAATCCATTGATGTCGCTTTGCCTGCGCATATCTGTCAGACTTTTCCGAAAGATGTCCCATCTGTGAAACCAGCAGGATGGATCAGAAATAGATATACGACATGGGGTCAACTTGGGTGCACGGATCTGCTCACTCACGGTGGAGATCTGGACCTTTGTCGCCAAGTTTGGATCGGAGGCTCTGTACATCTTGCGAGTGCGACTAGAAACTCTGAAACCGTGCTTGCACTGGAAACTGGAAGACTTACTCGATGTGAGGGTTGTCTAGCAGTCGGACAAGGTGTCGCTTGTCTGGGTTGATAGTTCTGGAGTGGCCTTTGTTTAGAAACCGGCGATGTCCCATTAGTATTTGGGGAAAATTACCACCCTGCGTTGTAACAAATACTTCGCTGTGCAGGCAGACGATGTAGTCAAGGGCTGCTAACCGCGATGAAAAGCCCTGCATGAAAGGAAAGCATGTCTGTAAGTTAGGTTGCCCTACACTTGCGTAACAAGCTACAGAGTGCAATGATCTCTACAGCCGTACGCAGCATTCAATGCATTTATGATGTCTTCAACCAGAACTATATGCGAAGTGCAAAATTGATCAACCTCAAATTGCTTGTGTTCCTCTGATGATAGTAAAGTATCTTTGCTATGGATATACGGAAACATTCTTCGGAGCGGCTCCATACTTTCCTCTCCTTTGTATATTACTCCAGCTGCTAAATAGATAGGGGTATTCTTGTCGAAACCCATCCCACGCAGCATCATTCCCACCTGCTACCATTAGATGTCTTAGAACTGTTTCCAAAGCGCTAATATATTTCTCGCTCAATACAAATTAAACACAAATAACACAGAACCGCAATAATAATGAAAACATCTTGTACACAAACTGTTCATAAATAACTCCAGAGGCAAAGCCCACTGCAGCTTGTAGAACCATTTAAGTTGGGTCAGTTCTGTACCTCGACAGGCGTTAGAGGACACTTCCCATTTCTTCTAATTTCGTCCGGTGGTGCATTGGCACGGCCCTCTCGTGTGAACTTGCCACGCCAATCTCTTTCCCGAGTATTATCAAGCCTCGTCTTTTCTTCTTCATCATCATCGTAGACACACTGAGAGAAAGCCACCATATCCTGTAGTGCATACATTCATAACATTACCATTTCGTTAAGACTCGGTCTGTAAGGGTACAAAAGAACGAGCACATGACTACGTAGAAAATCAGTACCGGTCCGTAAAGTATCAAATACATACCTCTTCGAACCGCAGGTGAATGGCGACATAATTGCCATTCATTTTCGCACACTTGGATTTCATTCGGCTAACTAACATGTTACCCATATCAGCAATCGGTTGGGCAAATCGCAGGGCAACAAAATTGGAATAGCACCTCAGTTTTTGAATTTCCGTCGGAATCCCATCATATGCCAATCGATTGGCGAAGGGAGAAAATTTGACGACTCTGTTATCCACAATGTCCCGTAAGATTAGATCAGAAAACTCGATCTAATTTATATGATTGATACGTATCTAATCCAAGAGACTTTTTAAAGAGGATATTTAGGAGGGGAATTGCACTCACTCCCGTTCTATTAACACAGGGAGAGCTTCTTCCAGATAAAAACGGGGGAGAGACCACGCTGTCACTTTCATCTTGAATATCATGCTACCATTGTCGTAGCGATCCAGCATCTCTTGAGGCAGAGCTCGCAATATTCTTACTTGCTTAGAAAGAGATTCAATGAAGTGGTCCTCGTCAAATATATCTCCGAAAGTGCTGAAGATACCACGACGACATACTTAATATAAGAATAACAATTACAAGGGGGTACTCTATAGCATCTGAATTTTACTAGTAAGTGGACAAAAGAAAGCGTGTTTAACTGAAAGCATGATTTTCAGGCCAGTCTTCCAGTAAACATTCCTGAAAAGCTCACGAAATCAATATTCAGTTAAATCCAACAATGCATACCTGGGATCTTTCCATACGGTGTTGAAATGAAAGTGGGGTACTATAAGAGTGGCATTCATGAGCTTTGCAACTGCAACGGCATTACAAATCTGCAATCCAGCCACAGAAATGTCAGCAATCGGAAACAGACGTTGCCGCTAAACTTCGTGCCACCCCGAGTTATAAGTTTTCATTTCACGTGGGCTTCTTTGAATTCAGTTGAAGGTGGATACAAAGTGAAAACATACTGTGGAGCGCTGTTGATTCAGACCGCCATTTGCCTTGACGAGAATGTACCCATTTGAGTCTGGCAAACCTACAGCAGTTGCAAGTGGAACCATTTCAGAAGGAGAAGTTGGTCCGACCGATGGCCTAAACGAAACTCTCCATCATCGTCACACAAGCGAAATTCTTTTACTGACTTGCGCATGGTTCGCATAAACAAATAAACAAACTAGTGGCTCTACCCCTACACGAGCAACCAGCTCAAATGTTAACGCTTCCTCGACAAGGTCACCTGGGTCCTGGTAAACGGAATTAAGACACGGTGTGTAGCCTCCACCCTCCTTAGGATACTCCCAACCAGACCACACCTGCCGTGCATGACATCCTTCAACAGCATCAACTAGCGACCCAAACTACACCTACAGAGAGGTCCCCGCTAAAGTCATTCGAGTTGCTTGAATCCACTTAGAATGCTTGAGCATCTTCTCCCTCACAACAGCAATGCAATTAAACAAAACTGAATTATGATAATTCTTCCCTCAACTTCGGAGAGGTGATTGAACTCAACATTGGGAAAGGATTGAGAGGAGATGCGCACCCCATCTGAGGAGTAGTCAGCGCGCTCCATTTCAGGCCACAGATTCTCAAACACCCGATAGCTGCGATACACTGAGCCGGGCCGATACCGACCAGGAAACGAAGGAAATTTCATTGCAAAATCGCCCTCCATGTAAAGCAGCGTCCCCATTACGTAGATAAAGGGTATGAGGAGCAGAACCCGGTTGCGTCTCCGGAAGAATAAGAGCAACCAGTGGGTCAGCTTCTGCAGCCATGTCGAGCTGAGGCGGGGCTTAACAACGGGCGAGCCGAACTTGACTGCAGGCGAGCCGAACTTGACTCTGGGCGAGTCGTATTTCACTTTCGGCTCGCGAATGGGCATGGGGCGTACACCGTGAGGTCTCTCCCTAAAGTGGCGCGGAGAGTTTGCGGGAGAAATGAGAGGAGAGGAAACGAATGCAATGACATGGTTAAGCCCGAGCTGGAAAGCTGGTGTGAAGAACTTTTCACGCTTATGATCTGTGCCGTTCTGCATTAGCGTATGCGAGGAGTCCACCCGCCTTCACCGATCTGTAAAATGCACTGGGTTGCAATCCTCTCATCAATCGTCGTTTAATTCTGCGTTTCTGCTAAACCCTGAACTATATCATTGAAATTCGCTGATCAAACCTCATAGATTGAGATTCAAGGATATGCGACTAAGAACGCCTCAATGCAAGGAGATAAATCGCCAACGATGCCTCATTTGCTTCAACACGACCAGCTGCTGCAGCGCGAATTTTCCTGAATTTCATGCCCTTAGCGATAGTAAAGCTCCCGGAGATCCCATGAACACTTTTACAGAGAATCTATGAACAATAACAAGCAAGGCTGTGTCGTAATAGACAGCGACTCGTTATTCCCTCAATCCCTCAGACAAAGCGACTTTCGAGCCCCGAATGCACGATCAGTGAATAATAAGTCCTTTGTGTGCGACAAATCTGCAGGCATTCGACTCTAGATCAACTTCCTGTCCAAACCCTGTGAACTCAATGCACGTATTGTAATCTACGCTCTACCTTGTCAATTCCATCGATGAATCTCAGCACTGAGTCACCATTTGCACACCCCAAGTTGCCCAAGTATCACAGATTATAACGGAATCTCCACGAATCTTCCATGAACCCCAAAACTCTGAGCTTAAATGACCTTGCCCCTTGAAACTACAACCAAACCACCCAAATATAATCTCACGCTTGAGGAATTGCCGCCTCGCAACGTCAACCAGATCGATCAGACCCAGCTTCTTCGTAGCGTGCGGCGTAGTAAGGTCACTAGAAGAAAAAACAGACGTGGTGACTGGAAGATGGAGACCAACTTGACAACAACACCAGCGATGACATGACCTCAAGGAGACGAACGACCCGAGCGGATCGGGAGCATCGACGATAGCTCGCCGCTGGAAGCGGTACAGCTACCGACCACGATCCTCGGCTTCTATATCGACGCATACCAACTTCCGAGAACGAGGCCCAGGCTTCCCGCGAAATTCTTAGGCTCTCCGCCTATCACGCCACTCCTTAGGGATCCATGTGGAGTGATCTCATTGGTTATGAAATTTGCCCTTGCTGCGATTGCTTTGAGTCCGCGCCTACCACTGTCCGTCCCGCGTTCCACGTGGAGTATTATGGTTGGGTGTCCTCCCAACTCTTTCCCGCGCGTAGAGACCTCGGTTTTGTCAGTTTTGCTTGCTTTGAGGAGTAGAATTGGTCCCAAGTTTTAGAAGCTATGAATTAAGGGGTACAATTAGAAATCATATTATTATTATTATTATTATTATTAATTAAACATCTGGATTGTGCTGTGACCCCAAAAGATGACCTCAGGGTTCACAGTTAGCTGACTGGATGATGTTGGAAGTTATATATGTATATATATATATATTTTTTAATAAATGGACAAAAACTTTCCATCAGTCAGACCTTGGACTTGGTTCTAATTAAATTCGACCTGATGCAATTATTTATAATTGACAAAGTTTGACCCATATTATATATATATATATATATATATATATATAGGAGTCAATTTCAGTCTTGTGCCAGGAACAGGAAATGAGTCGTCTTTGTTACTTGAATATAAAAGTGTTCTTGTTAATCTTGACGCTATTTCCAGTTTGAAACACCAAAATTGAATACTTAACATTATTTCTCAATTTTATATTGCAACATGAACTTGAATATTTTATATTCAAATAATACTGAAATGTAAAATGTATTGTGAAAAATGATACCAAGAAGTCATTTATTCAAATCTCATAACATGGTCTATTGAGCTAAAATTTAACTTTGATGTTTATTTTTATTTATTTTTATTTTTTAAGTATCATTCAAAATTGTTCTCGAACAAAATAAACAACATAATTGTCAGTTATACAGTTGGGAGAATTTTAAGCACCAATTTCTAATTTTTAACAAAATAAAATAAAATCTAAATCTGAATGTTATTTATTTATAACAAACTATTATATATTATAAATTTTAAATACATTGTATTAGAGTAATGAAATTTTATTTCATTTTTAACAAAATTGAAATGCTACAAATTCAAATTATATATATATATATATATATATATATATATATTAATTTTATTTTGTGTTAGTTAAATATTATATATTCATGTATATTTTTTATTTTTTATTTTTATTCTTTTATTTGTTTATTCTTTTATTCTTTTTTTATTTTTTTGACACAAATAGAGGTCTCTTTATTGCAATAAAAATAGTGTTTACATAGTGATCCTAGTCAAGATTAATTACTCTCCTATTCCTAAAAAAATTAAAGTGTAGGACTTATCTCAATAGGGTTTCAAGAGGTTCTATTGAGGTTTATTCCCTTACTAATTGGCTGGCACCACATTAGAGCACTACTAGTACTTTAATTTCTCTATCAATTAAACTCTATATCCTAGATTCTATTTGTTCTTGTCTATTGTATAAATCCACACTATCCAACTATAATCTATGAGGTTTAGTCGTACTATATTATGCATTTTCTATAGGAGCTAAAATAACTTGTTAAAGATTATATCGTTTCATTCAATCTATAAGCACATGATTGTCCTTCACAGCAACAACTATATTGAACTAATCTTTCTTAGACATTGTAGTGTTCTATAAACAAAGTTACAATGATTTTAGTTAGGTAGGAATTAATTAGAGCCTATAACATGTTTGTATGTCTACCATCTAGTGTCATTTGTTGTAGATATGTCATCTTGTTTTGTGACCTAGTGAGCTGCCATAGTGGCTAATATTGAAGCTATGAGACTATTAGGATTACTCCTTGGAAGATAATTGACATCGAGTCATAACATAAGATATAATAAAATTTGTATTCTTCTTTGCCAAGCTCTTGTGCCAATAGACACTCCAAAAAATGATAGAGGACTAATTTATTGAAGTTGTTTAAAAATATTGGACAACATTGGACTACATTTCCATCAATCTTATTATACCATGCATTAGCCAACATTGCTTGGTTCTAGATTAATTTAAGTAGTTCAACTTCTTTTTAAATCCTCTCCAGATCCTACATGTTCATCTATCAAAGTTTGAAGTTTTGAGGTAGTATCCCTACATATTTTGTTTCAACTACTAAATGCACCTTGTATTGTTTTTATAAAAGATATCATCTATGTATTGCCATATAATATATACTAGATTCATTCTCCTCCCAATTATATTGACTTAGATCCATTTTAATTGATTAATGCACCTATAGAATAATAATATCTAGTCTTTTTTTCGACCTTGTTGAATCAAAATCACCCACATTTAATGTTGATTATTGTTGATCCATATATATTCTTGATTTTGTATTATTTTGCTTGTATTGATATTTTGTTGGGACATAATGAGAATTGGTGTTAATTGTGTCAATCTCTTAATCACTTTATACATTTGATATTGTATTAGAAACTAAGATGGAATAAATTCTAATATTATTATGTTATTTGAAGATATTTTTTAAACTTTCAATAACAAAGTTTGTAATTTTGTCTTAGGATGTAGGCCGACTTATTTGCTAATTTGAAGTTGGAGATGAATGGAATATAAGAGAGCCTTCCATTTCTAATGTAATGCTTATATGAGTGCATGTCATAGGCCTTTCTCTTGACCTCACACTCCAAACTTGGTGCATATTTCTTTGTGAGGTATGAAGGTACTATGTGTGAGTATATTATTTTATTGGCAGTATCCAGCTTTATACAAGGTACTCATCCTTGCTCTAAAAAAAATCAAGTCTGAAATTCTAAATCATTGTGTAGAACTAAAAACTACTATTCATGAATTCCTCACAACAAGTTGGCTAGGTGTATTAGAATTTTGATATCATTTCTTTCAAAACTTATGTAACTGTGGTTTGTACAATTTTATTTAAATAACAAGAAATAATAAAATAATCCATGTTAAGGTATCATTTCCATGAGATTTTCTTCAGCTACAATGAAAAATAAGTATAGGACAAATGGAAATCCTTATCTCATTCTTCATATGATTGAAAAAAGAGCCGATAATGCTCCATTCACTTTTACTCAAGCTGATGTATTTCCTATTTAAAGTTATATCATAGCTATAAATTCCTTTGAAAAGTCTAATAATATTATAATTCAAAATAAAAATTTCTAATCTACCATATCATATGCTTTAAAAAAATCTAACTTGAGGAATAATAAAGGCTAATATGAATGTTCAACCTATGCCATAATTTTATATGAAAGAAAAAAATTGTCTACTATGCATCACATAAAAAGAAAAGCCAATTGGTTCATACTAATGATATTCATAAGAATTGGTTGTATTTGTAATTCTAATGCTTTAAAAAAATATCTTATAATCCAAGTTCAAAAGTATGATTGGGCATCAATTAATTAAAGATCCTCTAGATCTACCATTGTATAAGAAAACTATAATTCTCTTAGTAACCTCAAGGTATAGGCTCCTTGAGATCAAACTATCATGTATCATGAAATAATATTCTTGATCAATCATATTTTAAAACATGAGGTAAGAATCTAATACTATTCTATCTATACCGTGCAACATTTATGAAATCTAAGTCGTTGTTTAAGATGAGAGTAGAGCCTTCGGTTGGCTCTATGATGCCAAATCTAACCTCATTATTGTGGCCTTGATCACTTATTTTTAGATACTTTGTATTATAAAGGTATCTAAGTTTGATGTACAGAGTTGCTTGTTATATGCTGTATAAATATTGGACATATCTACTTAGTTTGAATTAGTATACATAAACCAGTCTTTGAATTTATTAAGATAAGAAGCTGTAAATTATTCTTCAATAGCTTGAAAGAAGGTTCACAAGCACATGTCTCCTTCTTGGTACTACTTAAGTATACTCTTCTTTGTTTGTTATTCAATCTTTTATTCTTTGACTATCTAAAGGTATTCAATATATGTGATTAGGAGATTTGAAGTTACTAGTTACTAGGCTTGCCCTATAGTTCGATCATTATATCTTTGAGATGTCAGCAAAATGCCACTTCCTTTTTATATTGCTTCTTGGTTTTATTAATATACCAACCTTTATAGAAATTAATGCAGTAATGTAATTTGCCAAAAAATGCAAATTATAATGGATGGCCTTCAAGAAGCCAATGTAAGACTATACTACCAGATCTTAGAGAAAGCTTAGATTTATTACAAACTGCATGACTCTCTTGAGTTAAAAAAAGAGTTGTACTTGCTTCTATATAGAAAAATGACCTAAATAAATATTATCATCTAATATACAATAATTTGTAAAAATGGATCATGATTCAAATGCCCAAAATGTATAAACATTATTAAACTAGGCCACAGCTCATATTTTATTCTTCCAATAATTATCTCAGTTAAATTAAATTAAATTTGATATTAAAAAGTCATTGATGACTTAAAGAGCTTATCTAAGGATAATAAATAGTCTCACCTTATAAACAAGTAGTAAAATTTGTGCTTATTTGATTTATCTACTCTGTTTTTTTTGTGAAGTTTTAGTTGTTTTTAATTATTCATCTACAATTTTTTAGTAGGATGTGAATTAATTCCATTTGAAGCTTCCATCTCTCAACCAATGTAAAAGATGTATATAAGTTTGTAATGGTAATCTCAATCCCAACTATCTTTTAGTAGCAAATCTATTGAGCTCGGCTAATCCACAAGTGCTTCATAGCTATAATCAAGTGGGCCAAGTGAGATGCAATTCTATTGGGGTATACAAAGTTGTTGTATGCTACAATAGTCTCATGTCCTTAAAATTTTGCACTAAGCTAGAATTCTTCCTTGAATGTGAGCAAAGTATTGCCCTATAACCTATGTTTTTGTAAACATCATATATGTAATGTAGCTAAATAATTTTGCATGTAATTTCATATCCATTTTATTTTTTCAAGCACATTAAGGCCTTGGATA